TATATATATATATATACTACTGTGATCGAATGTAAACGAGATTTTTGTTATAGAGTGAAAAATCTTTATTTATTCTTCAAAATCAAATTCGTCGCCTTCAAAATAATCCCCTCCCGATGCAATACACTTATGCCAACGCTTTTTCCAATCCTCGAAACACTCTGAAAACTCTTCTTCCGGAATGGCCTTCAATACTTTCTTCGTTTCGGCTTGTATCTCCTCAATCGATTCAAAACGGTATCCCCGGAGCGGTCTTTTGAGTTTATTGAATAGCCAGAAGTCACACGGTGCTAAATGAGGCGAATACGGTGGTTGTGGAACAATATGAGTCGAGTTTTTGGCGAAATGGTCACGAAGAACCAGTGCAGTGTGAGATGGCGCATTATCGTGGTGCAAAAACCATGAGTTGTCTGCCCATAAATCTGGCCTCTTGAGGCGAATAGCTTCACGCAAACGACGCATAACACTCAAATAATATTTCTTGTTGACAGTTTGGCCCGGCGGAAGGAATTCATAATGCACCATACCACGATAATCGAAGAAAACTGTTAACAAAACCTTGATTTTTTAGCGACTTTGGCGCAATCTTTTTGGTTTTGCCTCACCTTTTGCACGATATTCGCTCAATTGGTCGGTTGTTTCTGGGTCGTACGCATAGATCCAAGTTTCATCTCGAGTTATCATGCGTTTCATCTTGTCCTGGTAGTACAAAAATCATGTTTCACACACTTCAACGCGACGCTGTTTTTCCAAAAAATTGGGTGTTTTCGGAACCAAACGAGATTGACTCTTCTCAAGCACAAATGGTCTTTCAAAATGGTCTGGATTGATCCAAATGAAATGTTTACAGTATCGGCAAGTTTTCTAATTGTCAATAGACGATTTTGGAGCATCAAATCCTTGATTTCACGTGTTGTTCATCAGTTGATGTTTTTGGTCATCTTTGATGTGGTTCGTTTTCTCGACCATCTTTCAACATTTTATATCAGTCAAATACTCTTGGTCTTGATAGAGCCTGGTCACCAAAAATCTTCTGCAACATTCTGAACGTTCAGTAGCAGAAATTTCATTCCGCAAACAAAATAAAATACAATTTCTTTGCCCAACAGAATCACACATCGTAAAAATCGAAAAAAATACTTTTGGATATTCACAAAAACGAGCGTTCACTATTAAACAAATGAAGAGAATGACATGAAATTTCACACAGATGTCAAAGACAGTACTACCAACTTAATCAAAAAAATATTTGTCAGAATCGATGAAGCCGCGCAGTTTAAATTTAAAAATCTCGTTTATATTTGATCATAGTAGTATCTGGTTTTTTTGGCATCTTGCGTCGCCGTTCGGATATCTCTGCACATATTTGCGGTGCGCGTGTTGTTCACATGGATACATGGGACCTACAGTTTTACGCCGGTCTCGAACGGTCAATACAAGGATTTTTCTCAGCAGAGTGACTCTAGGCGGTTTGCTAGATCTTCATAGAGGAGAGCCGTCGCTTTGTAGATATTATCGGTCGGGATCGGGATTCGAACTCGCGATCTCTAACTTACGAGCCTCGCGCTAACTCGCAGAGCTACAATGAATTTATATTCCCGTGCTATTAAATTAAATCACACTAGAAATCATCGCAACGGGATGTTCACAAAAACGTCCCAACTTAAGTCCCAAAACTGAGCAAATGTAAATAAAAGAAATTAATGAACTGGCCTAGCTTTTGATGAAGACGTCTCCTTAATCGTCACAGCGCGTTTTCTCATCGAAAGAACAATTGAAATTTTGTTTTTGCAATCATCCAGCTTTTCGATATTCTCTAACAAATGTATATAGTCTCTTTCTCCTACAAGAGCCGCTTGTTGCTTCGACATGCTGTCTATCTCAAACATTGCGCTCGCGTTAATCTCTCGCTCGGCGAACACTTTCATACTCACACGCAAAATAAGAGAGATTTCGTTTAGAAAAAACAAACAAACTTTTAATAAGCGCAATGATACAGAAATTCGTAAATGGTTCATGGTAACTTCACACCTCCATTGTCATCAAACATGACGTGTTTGCAGCGAATGACCTTTTATTTCGCTATATATGGGGAGATAATGACAAGTGGATTTCATAATAATATATCTTGAAATATGTAGCGCTATTCTTTTTTTTTCGAAGTCAAATTTTGAAAGTAATAAATTAAATCGTGAAACTACTATATTAAATTTCTTATTATATTTATTAATTATTATATTTTTTAAAATAAAACGAATTTTAATACTTTATAACAATAAATAAATTTATAAGTCAAATGAGATATATAATATATTTCAGATCAAGTTAGAACGAGTGCTGGGTGTAACTGTATCCAACAACGCAGCTCTTGATTGCGACATAATTAGCGAGTTGGTTGCTTATCCAGCTGGGTAAGTTTTGACTTTTTTTTAATTAATTCTTTTGATAAGTGGAATATAATAAGTTTCATTTTCAATATAAATTAATACAGATATTAAATATTTAAAAGATATTAAATATTTAATACGATGGCGAAATGAAAGAGCATAACAAGATTTTTTATGAATCTAATGACATAATAAATTTATAATTAATTTTTATAATTTAATGACATAATAAATTTATAATTAATTTTTATAATTTAATGACATAATAAATTTATAAAATTGTAATAACTATTTTCTTCTCAGAATTTATAATTTTGTCTTTTATACTTACAAATATCATGTTTCACATATTCACGATTCATAAGTTTTCATTATAAGAATCTTATACGATTTTACTTATTAAAAAAAATTTCTAAATATTTACTTAAGTAATAGTGACAATATAATTATTAATTTAGTATACGAAATTTGATAAACATAATACTATATATCATATTTATATTATATTATTTGTATGCTCGTAGTACTCGTTAATTAGTAGCGTTGATTATTTGTTGCATATTGTTATCATCAAGTTTAATATTATTGTTTAATATAAAAATATCTATATTTCAGATTTTTGAATAATTTTCCCCAACTTTTTGTGATTTTTAATAATTTTTCTATGTTCATATATACAATTTTTTTCAAATTGTTAAATATTTATCCTCATTGAATATGAAAGAATGCTTTTCTTATAAGTAATTGCTTTTTTATATATAATACCCTTATTTTTTACACCAATACTGTTTTAAAAATAATCAAGCAATTAGTTTTGTTCTATTTATTTATTAATGTTTATTATATTTTTGTTTTCTAATTTTATTTCGAAAACTTGTTTTATATATATTATTTAACTATTTAAAAATTTTATTATTTTAATATAGCATTCCAACAATGATTTTGTATGAGTGATATGAATTTATCTATTTATAACAAATATTATACAAAAATCATTAACAATGATACGAGATAATTTTAATTTAAGAAAATATTTAAATAAAAATATTTATCACACTTTTATTGTTACAAAAAGAGACAAGTAGATCATTATCATTATAATAAGTTCCATAATATCTTATTAATGTTATATGGAAAGATTTCTAAAAGACGCCGATAAGCTGCGTGAGAGTGCGATTTAATCGTTTCTTCGTTCTCAGCGAATCTCTCTTGTGTATAGAAACTTGTTCGGGGCCGTGCGAAGCAGATATATACTAGGTCGTGCAAATAGACTTACAGCATCTGCGACCTAGTAAAACTAAAACTATACGATAAATAAATTTCGACGTATATAATAAATATAGACTCTATTACATTTGACAAATGCATACATATACATACTTGTCTATATACATATTGTCTGTCAGTATAAAATAAAGATTACATATATGAAGTTGATAATAATTAAAAAATCATTGCCAATGTGATTAATAATTTTGACGAAAATAATGAACCATACAATTGAGTTAGTTAATTTGGTAACATTCACATTGTGTCCATAGCACAGACAAATCTTGTCTCTAAAACTAATCTAAAATCTAAACTCTAAAATAAATTTAAAAGATGTTCTTAATTAATTAATTTTAATCTATTTTAAAATCACATTTTAAATTCACATTGTTTTATTTATTTCAGACTTTATATAATTCTCTTTTATTTTATATATTAATAATTAATGCTCGCAAGAAATTTTATTGTGAAAAATATTATCTCAATCAGAAATCGAATCTAGATCAATCTAGATCAATTTAATTATTATTAAAATAAAATTAAACTAAGGCATAATACATCGTTTTTAGTTGCCATATTTTTAGACCATAAATAAAGTAGCATGTAATCACGAATGAAGGCCTAGAAATGATTTCTTGAATTTATTTAATAAATTCAAATAGATGCCAGGATCTCATCATATCTCATATATAACTATGAATTTTCTTATTTCTATTAGATCTCTTATTTCTTTTAGATTTTATTTTATGTAGAAAATATCTTAGTCAATTGTATTTCATAGATAAATATTGTTTTTTTGCAGTTGCACTGTCGTTCTATTTAATCCACGGCGAAATAGTCAAGCACATGTTTTAAATGCTTGCCGTAAGACTGTGACTTCATTGGCACTCGCTGGGGACGGTAAATTTTTGACCACAGGTGAATGCGGTCATATGCCGAACGTCCGTGTATGGGATATTTCTGATCCGCAGAATGCCGTGCAAATCGCAGAATTTCCAGGACACAAATATGGTATTAACTGCGTGGTAAGTAATGTTCGCGATAACTTTTCATTTTATGTATTTCATTTTATGTATTCGTTTTATATATTCGTTTTCCACTTTTAACTACTCGCATCTTTCTTATATGTGTAAGAAAGATATTAAAATTATCTTTTCAAAAAATATAAAAAAACATCAAGTCTATGATGTATAAAACAATATCTTTATAAAATATTTGATATCAAAAACGTCGAGTTATCAATAAAATTTAATATAACTATTGAACATATGTACATATAATTGTATTATTTTGCTGTGGATTCTGTTTTTAATTCTAAATTGTAAGAAACTGTCCAAAGAGCAAATTGACGCAAAAACTTGATGTGCAAGTTGCATTAAGGGATATAAAAAAATATAATTATCTTTAGCGTACTGCTCATAATTTATTTTGGTAGAAACTAAAATTTACATTTTATAAAATATATTTTAAAAAAATGAGTTTAAAATATTAATTTTTGGTTGAAATATATTGCAATGAAAATCTTTAATAATCCTCTTTCATTGTTGACATAATAACTCTTTTCATAGACCTCTGAAATAAATGATTTTAGTTATTTTTAAATGATGTCGCT